CCCCTTTATAGATGGTTGTGAGCCACCATGTGGCTATTGGGAATTAACTCAGAACCTCTGGGAGGGTAGTCAAGTGCTCTTAACCACTGAGCTATCTCTCCAGCCCCTAGGGTGGTTTGTTTTTGATACCTGAGCAACGTGGAATTGTCAGACTGGGGCTGCGTCTTTATGGCTAGTGGCTAGTACAACAAGCCTCAATTCATGATCAGAGGCTATTACTCAATAAGTACAAGACTAACTGTTAGGTTCTAGAACAGCACATGGCAGGCAGGGTAGTAGAAAAGAAGGGCAGTGGATAAGTTAGACTTGACGAACGCTTGGCTGAGGCCTGAATGTGACCTGTGCAACTGGGAGCCTGGTCTGACCTGGTGCACGTGGGCCAGATGACGGTTGGTCTCCCTGGATCCTGGCTTGCCCTTTTCTACAGGACTGCAGCCGTCTTCCCCTGTTGGCCCTCATTCAGTAGGAATATAAACAGGTGTTCCTTGGGACAGTAGCCTTGGACGTTGGAGTTCTCTTTATAGAATGTGTGACTGCCAGCCACCGCCTTAGTTTATAGGCAGTGTATTTGGTTATGTGGCCCTGGGGTCTTTGGGACAGTGGGGGAGATGGAGGACGGGTAGCAGGACACATTTCAGGCAACACATGAAGATTGGCCTCTGGCTCTGGAAAAGTGGAAAGCCAGGGGCAGCCAGATTGATCCTCCTATTGATTCTCACTAAACCATGCACTGGAGGGAGCCACTGGACCGTAGCCCTCCCTACTGCAGGCCCCACTGACCTGGCCAATAGCTGCCCTTGCCTTCTGTTTGACAGGTAGACTCTTTGTCCTCCAACCCTAGCCTGAGATGTGAAGAATTGATCCTTTGTTCTCTGGCACGTCAGGCAGAACCGGCTCGATGCCAGATGGCCAAGCGGCACCAACTAGACAGGCAAACTAATGGGCTTGACCAGCCTTGGGTGGCACTCTTCCCACGCTAGCTGTGGATCTGGCTGCGGGGAGGCACAGACTTTATGCTTAGCACATTAGCAGAACTGGTCTGGGAGAAGGCAGAACCCCAGGGAGATGGAGCTGTCTCATACAATGCATCTCATGGGCCAGCAAGGCCAGTTGGAGATTCCTTTGTCTTCTGGGTCAGGTCATGTTCCACTAGACACAATAATTTGTTACTCTAAGCTGCCACATCCCTGAGCCTTTGAGACTTTAAAGAAGGGCTAGAGGCCACAGACTGTGTCTCAGTAGAGCCTCTTGGTCACAGGAGACTGCACCTTCTGTGTGACTGGCCATCCCCTCCAGATTCTGGAGGAATCTGGGGCTAGGGGTCACGGCGCCACACTGTCACAATGTCCTGTCTTTTCTCAGGGGCATGAAGGTACATGGCCTCTTCCTTCTGCTCAGCCCCTGTAAGTCAGTGAGAATCCAGAGAACTGGGACCCCAGCCTTGAAGAAGGGTGTTAATTTGAGGACCTGATTACATGTGTCCTGGACAGTTTTCTGCCTTCTGGGCCACTGTCTGTCACTGTAGAGCAGCTAAAGTATCTGAGATGTTTTAGGGGTGCATGAGGTTCACTATACAATCCATTATGTCTCTGATTGTAGCCTGGACGGGAGGATCCGTGAGTTCCTCTCCTAAGGTGGAGCAACCCTTACCATTTCCAGAGTGGAATGTGGGGGAGGTGAGGTGTGGGGCAGAGAACAGCCTGGTGCAGCCAGTACCACACATCTGTAGACTCACCTGCCGTTATTTTGGAGAGCTAATTGCCAGACCCTTGTACTTTAAGTTCTGGGATGTGTACTGGCCTTAGAAAATTCTGTCTAGCTCTTGGCCCCGGTGGAGAAGGTTGTTAAAGGACTCTGATGAGGGCTCCGCTTTTTTTTTTCCTTTCAGGAACCACCTAAGATTCAGCATTTAATAATTAGGAGATAACTTATCAGGACGTGAAAACACTTAAGTCTGAAAAACTGGGAGGGGAAGGGGATGAACTGACTTTATAAACGAACTGTGTAAGCTGTGAGAAGAAGGCATGCTTTGTGAAACCTTTGTACCTTCAAGTCCCTGTCTGGGTGCTACTGTTGGGAGGCAGAGGCGGCTGAATCTCTGATCAAGGCCAGCCTGGTCTACAAAGGGAGTGAGTTCCAGGACAACCAGGACTACACAGAGAAACCCTGCCTCAAGAAACAAAACAGAACAATAAGTAACTACTATAAATAATTATAGTTAGTTACAATTCTTTATAAGTTATAATTATTTATAGGACTTAGATAAATGAAGCCATTTGTTTTTCCCTTGGCTTGAGAGGACAATGTGCTAGGTATCGGCGTGAATCAGCGGCAGGTGTCACTCTTCTGTGTGGCGGGGATCTTGTTTGTGCCTTCGAGTTCTATCCCAGCCTGGGTCATAAGGTTCTGTGATGTTTGCTCCTGATTGTCAATATGGCTACTTATTTGCTGTCCATTCTAGTTGGGAATGGTCTGAAAGTCACCTCGCTTCTGCTGCAGTTGTCTGTCCATCACTAAGATGATATTTTGTCTCGTCTGTCTGGGCTCCATCTTGCCAGCTCACGTGTTGCCCTCGTTCGTAGTGACATTTCTTCTTTATCGCTTAGCCAGTGTTCAGTTGCTGTGAGGAGAGACGGTGACCACAGCAACTCTTATAAAGGAAAACAGTAATTGGGACTGGCTTGCAGTTTCAGAGGTTTAGTCCATTACTGTTATGGTGGGAATCAGGGCAGCATGCAGGCAAGATACGGTGCTGGAGAGGTAGCTGAGAGTTAGTTCTACATTCGATTGGCAGGCAGCAGGAAGAGAGAATGACACTGGGCCTGGCTTGAGTGTTTAGACCCCAGAGCACAGCTCCAGTGACATACTTCCTCCAACAAGGTCATGCCTTCTAATCCCTGTCAAGTAGCACTACTCCCTGATGACCAAACGTTCAGACATATGAGCCTGTGGGGGTCATTCCTACTCAAATCACCATATCTACACTTCAGTTTCTCAGCCAAGATGCCCCAGCCACTGCTTTATGAGACAACACAATTTTGGAGGCCCCTAGCCCTTATTAGCAACTGAACACACTGGTGAACTGAATAGGAGCTGCTATGCTGAGGGCAAGACCCTCAGTGGAAGGGGCTAACACCTGCCTCTCTCAGTCTCTCTGATCTCTCTGAATCTTCACAAGCATGTATGGTGGTCTGAATGAGAACTACTGTAGGTTCATATATTTAAATGCTTGGTCATCAGTTGGTGGAACTATTTGGTAAAGGTTAGTGGGTGTGGCCTTGTTGGAGGAGGTATGCCACTCAGGGTGGACTTTGAGGTTTAAAAGCCAATACCAGACCCAGTCTCTCTTTCCCTCCCTTCAATCCTTCTTCCTTCCTCCCTCCTTTTCCCTCCCTCTCTTCCTCCCTCTCTCTGCCTCCATCTTGTGAATTCGATGTAAGCTCACAGTTTATATTCCAGCACTGGGCCTACCTGCCTGCAGCCATGCTCCCCGCCATGATGATCATGGACTAACCTTCTGAAACTCTGAGCAAGCCCCCAGTTAAATGTTTCCTTTTATAAGTTGCCTTCACCATGGTGTCTCTTCACAGCAATGGAACAGTAACTAAGACAGTATCTCTGGAGCTTGTGTTCTTCTGGCCTTCTGGGTGGTGAAAGGTCCCAAGGTATTGTCTTCTTCTGAGCATCCATCCTACCCTGGTGTATAGTCATCTTGTGCAGGTCACTGGCCAAAGCAAGGATGCAGGGTGTCCAGTGTTCTGATGTCTAAAGGCACATGAGAAGGGCAGTTTTCAAGGTTTTCTCATAGGTCAAGAACCAGAGCTAGCCATGGACGACAGGGTCAGGGCCACTACCATGGATTGCTGTGGCTCTCTGTGGGGAGCTGTCATCATTTTTTCAGCTTGTATAGGATGCTGTCTGCGTGGACTTATCTCTTTTGTTGTTGTTTGTCTGTTTGTTTTCAGACCGGGTTTCTCTGTATAGCCCTCACCTGGAACTCCCTCAGTAGACTAGGCTGGTCTTGAACTCACAGAGATCCTCTTGCCTCTGCCTCCCGAGTACTGGGATCAAAGGCATGTATCATCACTGCCTGACTTGGATTTACCTCTTACATGTTAAGTAAGATAATTTCTCAGAATTTTCATTAACTAAGTAATTCTGAGATATAATCTCACTATGTATATAGCTCTGCCTGGCCTTGAACTCACGTAGATATGCCTATCTCTGTCTTCCCGAGTGCTCGGATTAAAAACCACCATGCAGGAACTGTCTGTGCCTCTTGAGTGCTGGGATTAAAATATATTCATTTTTGACATCACTGTCCTCTTTCAAAGGTTCCTTTTTACCCCAAGATTAAGAAAAAAAAATCACCAGGCATTGGTGGTGCATGCCTTTAATCCCAGCACTCGGGAGGCAGAGGCAGGCGGATCTCTGTGAATTTGAGGCCAGCCTGGTCTACAAGAGCTAGTTCCAGGACAGGCTCTAAAACTACAGCAAAACCCCGTTTTGTTTTGTTTTTTAAAAAGTCTCTTTTCCTTTTAGTATAAAGAGAGCTTTGAAGAAGAAAATATTACTGGAGTTTGATCACACATCTGCAGAACGATTGGCCCATTCCCAGATCTCTATTACCCACAACAATTAGGGAATGTGTGTCTAAACACCCCCAAAAGTCCACCACCACCACTGGGGCAGCTCCCTCCGAGACTGAGGATTAACATGGAAGGTGCAGAAGGCGAAAACATGAGTTTGAACAGGGAAATTTTCCTGGGTCAGACAGACATCCCAGCTGCCAGGGCCCCACCTAGTGATACAGGAGGAGAAGGAAGAGGAGGAGGAGAAGGAGGAGGAGGAGGAGGAGGAGGAGGAGGAGGAGGAGGAGGAAACCTAGTGAGGGAGGGGCCAGCATTCCCTTCTGAATTTAAGGGAAGTCCGATTCCTCTTTAGGTTACAGCAGTTAAACCAGGTTACTGGGGTGGGGGTGGGGAGTAGAGGGTGGGGCCTGGGGTGGCACCTGAGCCTGCAGGTGAGCTTCTTAGGGATTTAAGTTCAGTTTCCCCTGAAGCTGTGTCCTACCTGGCATGCTGAGAGAGGGCTGTCTCATACTCAAGGCAGTGGGAGGTCTTGACCACTACTTCCCTGCCCATCTCTGTTGGAGGCTCTGAGTCAGGATGCTGTCCATCCTGGGAGGCACACAGAGGTAAGGTGGTATGGCTTTAGGTGGTCAGCGTAGGGGGGGGGGCACTTGCTTTCCTTCTAGAATAGTTCAAGAAGCTGACAAAATATGTTGACGGTTTTCTGTCTTTGAAAGGAAGTTGGCTTGGATTTGGGGAAATCAGTGCAGACACCTTCTTGAAATCAATCTTTTTAGATTTCCTGTCAACTTTTTTTTTTTTTTTAATTTTTCTGATACTGAGGATTAAACCCAGGGATTTCACCTGCAGCTTGTGGTTGAAGCAAGCCCTCAACCATAGCATTATACCCCAGGCCCAGTTTCACTTTGGACAGGAGAGCGTTTTTTGTAGTTTGGGAAGCCCCTGCATGAGAAAGCCACACTCTGAGCACAGAGATATGGAGCAGTTTACCTGGATTATTTGGGCTGGAGATTTTGGTGGGAAGGCACTGGGGTCAGGGACTTATTAGCTTGGTTAAGTGACTTCTGTCCTGCCCTATGGCTGGGTCCCTCCCTGGTTTTTGTAAGAATGTCTGGGCTATGAGCCCCGGGCATAGTGCCCTGATTCACAGCTGTAGAGAGAGAGTTGGCCTCTGCTCTGAATCATGTAAACACCCCCCCCCCCCCCTCATGGATCTTGCTGGCATATTGTAAAGAATAGGCTCCGCGGTTTCCTAGTTAGTGAGGGGTAAGGCACAAACCTCTGTAACTTCAGGGCAACCCTTAGCTTAGGGGATTCCAGGTTCCTGTTGCCTCTAGGGACCCGAGTCTGAAGGCCTTCTGAAAACCTGTGCTCCTAGAGTGTTGAGTCCAGGGGAAGTCTCCTTCAGGGACAGAGCTGCCCACGGGGACCTGTGTGACCTTGTGGATAGTATGCATCTCCGTGTGTGTGTGTGTGTGTGTGTGTGTGTGTGATGTGGCCATGGAGTCTATGTGTCCTTCTGATAAGCTGTCACTTGAGACCAGCTATTGGATCCCACTTTGGAAGCTGGCTTTGAAGAGTAGCGGGTAAAGTAAGGGCATTTGGGTACAGTCTGCCACATGTGGGTGAGGTTAGAACTGAGGCTGAGTGTGGTGTCATATGTCTGTGGTGTGACAAACCTTTCCTGGGGAGACACGACATACCTATCTACTCACCCCAGATAGGGAGCCTATGACAGATACCACCAAAGTCCAGCTTGGTGAACCAATAAGTTGTACTGGAGTTACAGGAATTTATTACAGGAATATGGGAGAGTTTATTTACAGGAGCAGAAGTGACCCAAAGACAGCTGCCTCACCAAAGCCTACCTCAGCACAGGTGACAGCTCGCAAAGCTAGGACCTTGCAGCACAACCACACAGCCTGCAGGCAGCTCAACAGTTTAGAGTGTCCTTTCCAGGAACTGTAGAAAAGGTAGAAAAGCTTGTGTTGTGATGCAAACAGGCCCTGGAGACTAATGGCTAGGTCCCAAGTAGGTGGTATACGATTTTGTTTGTGGAGGCCACCTGACCGTATTGTAGACCTGCATCCTTAGAACCTGGCTGGCTGAGAGCCAAATGACGCCTTCGCCAAGATGCAGTCAGGTGTGGGAGGTAGGGAAGACATGGAGGAGAGGGTGGTAATATTAATTAAAACATTGCTTGGCCCATGAGCTCTAACTTCTTTTTTTTAATTTTTTTATTACTTAAAAAAATTACCAATCCAAATTCCCACTTCCTCCTCTCCTTCCCCTCCCCTCACACTCCCTCTACACACCCTTCCTCCACCCCTCTCCAATCTTAAGAGAGGACAAGGTACCCTGGCCTGTTGAAAGTCCATGTCCCATTACAGTAGGAAGGATAGTTCTTGGAGTTTTCACGTCATTTTTGACATGAAAAACTGAAAAGAAGCATATTTCAGAGGCTGTTCCTATTGTCCACAGATCTACCTGTCTACTGTTTAGAAGGTGTTTGTGTGTGGCACCCAAAACTCTCTGGTCCAGGGATGCCCAACTTTCTGGATCACTGGCAAGTGATTCATGCTGTGGCTCTCCAGGGGGGTCCTAGGCTGGTCTCACCTCCTATACTGGTGGGTAGAGGTCAGGTTACCCATTGACTAGCATGACAGGTGGCCCTGGGGTGGACAGTTTATCTCCAAGGCCTGTACTGGATAGGTTGAGGGTGGGTTAGAGGTGCCACAGTTGAGAAGAGCAGAGGTCTGGCATCTGGGAAGGGGTATGTTGCACACATTCTTACAAGTAGCTTTGCTTCTTGCCTCTCTGCATAGGTGTCTCAGACTGGGCAGGGTTTACCACCAGAGCATCTAGGTGGGCCAGATTGGAAGAACTGTACAAGTTTTCTAATACTCCCAGGACCACAGAGTGTTTGCCACTTCTGGGAGTAACCCTTGTCGCATAGGACTCAGCCACCAGCAGGGGCTAGCCCACCCCTGTTCTCTGGGCTCTGCAGGAAGATGCCGTGACTACTGTTTCTCTCTGAATCATGCTGGGATCTATGAGAGTTGTGGCCTTAGACTTTCACAGCCTTTCTTTCCAGTAAAGGTTGGGGAAGTATGGTGGGACCAGGTGCTTGGGTAAAAAGATTTGATAATTTGAGTCATTCCCCGTAAAGTGTTGTTTGTCCTGGTAGCTCACCAGAGCCTGACAGCCACACTGGGAAAGGGAATTGGAATATTCCACTGGAGAAGGGAAGTAGAACATTCTGGAGACTGTTTTCTCCAGGCAGCAAACCTCCTTTGTTCTGATGTGAGATTCCCCCTGTATGATATGAATATATTTTATTATTATTGGTTAACAAAGAAGCTGCTTTGGCCTATGGCAGGGCAGACTATAGCTAGGAGGGAAAACTAAACTGAATGCAAGGAGAAAGAAGGCGGAGTCAGACAGATGTCATGTAGTTGCCCAAGAAGCAAGATGTGAGGTAACAAACCATGAGCCTCATGGTAAAATATAAAATAATAGAAATGGGTTAATTTAAGATGTAAAGAGATAGCTAGGAATATGCCTGAGCCATTGACCAAATAGTATTGTAATTAATGAAGTTTTTGTGTGATTATTTGGGTGTGGGTGGCCGGGAAACAAAAATGTGGTCTCCATTTACACTGGTCCAACTAACCTATTTGTTAAAATTATCCAAGCTTGGCTTGGGTGATTTAGCAGCAGATAAGGTGACATCTTTGATGTTCAGATGGGGTCCGTACTTTCTTTGGTAGTTGGGGCAACTGGATCACAAGATTCCTTTACCCTGGCACCTGTGACCATGTCTAGCAGGCCATCTTGGTGGAAACCTCTTGATTCGAAGAGCTGATTGAGACACGCAGGCTGTGGAAAAAGTGGAGTTGGAGGGCTTGAGAGGATACCTGGGGGACTAGGTTCTAAGCAAAAACCTTAGCTTCTGTCCTCCATCTAAGGGTAGAATAGACAAAGGTCTGGGGCTGTCTGGGGGTGGAAGATGGTGTCCAGGTAGGGATGTGTGGGAGTCATGGGAAATATGCCCCCTCATATCCATGTTCTTTTTGGGGGGGTGCAGATTTTAAGACAGGGTTTCTCTATGTAACAGTCCTGGCTGTCCTGGAACTTGCTTTGTAGATCAGGCTGGCCCCAAGATTCACTGACCTCTGCCCCTCATGTGCTGGGATTAAAGGTGTGTGCATCACCATACCCAGTCATATGCATGCTTAGTTCCTAGAACCTGCATGGTGGAAGATAAGAAATGACTCATGCAGAGTGTCCCCTGACCCTCACTTGCATGACACAGCATGCATGCATACATATGTACAATAAATACCTAAATGTAGTGAAAAGTTTAAAGGAAAAAGAAATGTCTCCTGTCATTGCAGCTGGAAGCTGGTTTATGACCTGGAGCCAGGCACCAGATGGTTTTATGTCATGGATCTATTCAGAGAGAAGTCCTGGGAAAACAGTGATGGTCTGTGAAGCTGGCAGAAGGCTTGCAAAGGTTTTAGACATGCTTACATCTATCTTGAGGGCAGGAGGATTCACGGTGGAAAGTGTTCTATTTGTTTCTTTGTTGAGACAGGGTTTCTCTGTGTAGCTCTGGCTGTCCTGGCACTCACTCTGTAGACCAGGCTGGCCTCGAACTCAGAGATCTGCCTGCCTCTGCCTTCTGAGTGCTGGGATTTAAAGGTGTGCTCTGCTCACAGTGGTAAGTTTAAGTCAATGCTTTGAGAAAGAAGGAAAGAGTTTCTTTTGCTTTCTGCACATGAAAATCAAGATTTATTTTAAAACACTGAAATTCCTATTTGTCCTCATGTAGAGGACCGGGCTGGGTCTCAGGTCTTAGACTATGACTTGTGTGGGCCCCCAGCTCAGGCAGGGAGGGCATGTGAAGGGTTATGAGCTGTGTTGAGGCAGGGGCAGGTGGTATAGGCTTGGAGCCCTCTTCAGTTTATGATTTGGGAGCCCTGGACTGTGGGCTGTCCCTGTAAAGGTACATTCCCAGCAAGCTCCAAGACAGATGGTTAGTGGGCGCTGAAAGTTTATGAATCCGAGAGGAGGCCAGTGAAAGGTGGCCTGTTTGAGGAAGGATTTTTATGTGGAGGACCAAAGTGATAGCTGGGGGAGAACAGAAGGTGAGCTATTGTTATCTGGCTGGGTTCCTCACCGTTCTTATCAAGTGGAAGTCATACTGTCACTATATAACGTTATATACACATATAACATACTCTTATTATACCCTAACTATATAAGGCTGTAAACAATTCACTACCATGCAGCCAACTTCTCAGGGAGTGGTAACCGCAATGACTCAACAGCATTTAACTTGAGGTGGTGCCTACACTGGGCTTGGGAAGCCCCTCTAACTCATGAGGAATCTTCAGCAGAGACTCCACAGCCTCATTGCTCCTTTCTGTTTTCCCCCTGCCTCGGTGTCAACCCTGCTCATCTGGCAGAGAGAGGACCCTGAAACTGAGGACATTTGGCCAATTTTGGCCCAGTGTGGTTGTGATGTCTGTCTAGTTTCTTCCTCAGGGTAGCTCCTGAGCTCTTTGTCTATACAGACTTCCCGGGAGTGTTGGAGACATGGCTGATACCCAGCACAGGTGACATGTTCCATCCTGGCTAGGGTAGAGCTTTGAATGGCACAATGAGGTGGGCATTGGGTAGTGGGGCTGCCCTGGGGTCCTAAGGGGGTTTTTGTGCTCTTCAGTACAGGTATAATAAATAGCTAATGTCATCATGGAATGCCCACATCTATCATGGCTTGTGTCTTTGGGAGCCCCACTGAGGGTGTGGAAGACTGGAAGAAGCTCAGTTAATGGCTGTAGTCCCTGAATCAGACATGTAGGAGTAGCCTCAGGAGGGTTTCTGTCATATGTGGAGCCCCGGCTTTATCTATGCAGAAGACCTGGAAGATCTGGCCCTCTTGGAGCAACAAGTATCCTTGGCCCTTAGACTAGGATCCCTAAGGACTGTTTCCTGCCAGACATGTCCGGTGCTCCTTGAAGAGGTATGGCTGACTCTAGGCCTGGACTAGGAAAGTTGAAGATGAGCTTGGTAGGTTAGCGAAGAAGCTGACAAAGACCAGAGAAAGGCAGTCAGTAGCAGGCCGGATAGATATTTCAACAAAAGCCTTTTAACTACAGCCCCGTATGCAGCTAGGACACAGACGGACTCACCTGGGAGACAGAGGCTTAGGGCGGTGGGTACTGTTAGAGAGAGAGAGAGAGAGAGAGAGAGAGAGAGAGAGAGAGAGAGAGAGGTGGGCAAGGCCCACCTTTTAAAGGGAACGTCGTGAATGTGCACAGGAGATGCTCTTAGTGGCTGCAGATGAGTCCTCATATCTTGTCACGATCCCTAGGGCAGGCCAGGCCAGATGCCCGAATTCTAGCAGGTACAGTGAGGCGGGGTGGGGAACACTTACTTATCTCAGAGTACCAGGAAGAAGCTTCCCAACTGCCTTTCCACACCCGTTTCGAGCTTTGGCCACTGTGTGACACATCAACCCGGGCCGTGTACAGCAGGGGCCACTGTTGTACACACCCCAGAAAAGATACGCAGCCGAAAGCCTCCAATTGGAGCCCGCAAGGATGTGTGCCATCTGTTCCTACTGCTACGGTCTTAAATATCCTGGTAGGAGGAGATCAGAGAACAGCTGGTACCCAGGCAGCTCAAGCAGTGAGCCCTTAGAAGGGGAACCTAGGTAAATGCTTTGTCTACAACGGCAGCAAACGCTAGCAAATCTAACTAGATGTAAGGAAAACATAAGACAGAGGAGCTTCATGTTGACAATATGATTAGAGGAACTGTGTCCTGGGGGATGAGACCTACCACCTCCCTGGTCAGGTTCTTTTCCTTTCTGGCCTGTGAAATGTATGACCTCGCTAGGTCCTGCCATGTGTGCAAACTCAGCCTGGACCGGTCATTCTTCGGTGACCCCAGGAATGCCTGGGAATGAGAAAATAAAGAAGCCAGGAAAGCTGGAAGCACAAGATCTTCCATAACCTGATGGATAATGACAAGCAAGTTTATTAAGAAGTATAGCATCTTACATGTTGTTTGTAGGGAGAAATTGGACAGAGTCAGCAAAAGGCTATTATACAACAGGATAGCATCAGCAAGAAGATATCAGCAATGTTGTACAAAGGGAACATAGGGTATCTCAAGTACACCAAGTTGTTGTCGATTTTTTTTTTACTCTTTGCTCTTTGGGGGCCTGCCACCCACCTCCCAAATTAACACATATGGAGGCTTATTATTACTTATAAATGCCTGGCCTTAGCTTGGCTTGTTTCTAGCTGCCGGGTTCTCCAGCAGCTAGTCCTGCCGGTCTTTCCCTGGGGCTGAGCCAGATGGTGAGTGTCAAACAACCTAGACCTCCCCCCTGGCCACCGAGGAGAAACACACACTGAGACGGGAGTCTGTCAAAGCAGGATTTTAAACTTTATTGCATCAGGGCAGGAACTTATATAAGGCTGAGGTAGTGGGCTGGAGTCTTGGGATGGGGTGAGGTGGAGTGCGGTATAAAGGCCAATAATATCCTGCCATGTCAGCGGTGGCTGGGCAGAGGTGGGCCTAGGTCAGGCTGTGCTGAGTTAGGCTCAGGAAGTTAAACTGGGCCTCACCAAATTCAAGTTAGGCTTAGGAAGTTACACTGGGCCTCATGAGGTCAATATCTAGCCAGCTTTCCTTAACTTAAATAATCTCATCTACCTTTTACCTTGGGGCTTATAGTCTTCTTTTCTTTCTTTCTTTCTTTCTTTCTTTCTTTCTTTCCTTCATTCCTTCCTTCTTCCTTTCTTCTTTCTTTCTTTCTTTCTTTCTTTCTTTCTATCTTACTTTCACTCTTAGTCTATGGCTGGCTGAGTGGCTGGTCCCTTCTTTTCTCAAACCTTGGTCTCTCTCACTCCCCTTCTATTTATTCTATCTGCCAGCCTCACCTATCCTTTCTCCTGCCTCATTATTGACTGTTCAGCTCTTTATTAGACCATCAGATGTTTTAGACAGGCAAAGTAACAGAGCTCCATAGAGTAAAACAAATACAACATAAAAGAAGGCAACACACCTTTGTATCATCAAACAAATGTTCCACAGCATAAACAAATGTAACACATCTTAAAATAATATTCTACAACACCAAGTGCCACAGATCAGCACTCAGTGGCATTGAGACTGGGAACCATAGCTCTTTAAAGAAAAGAAAAATTAAGTTCTTAGGATCTGAAGCCATAGCTCCCTGCAAGGTCCTGGCCTCAGGTCTTTACTGACCTTTACAAGTATGTTTAGACAATGACTCTTTCCCATGCCTCAGGGTTTCAGGGGAAGTCCCAGACTAACCTGGCCCTTAAAACTTAACTTCCTCCTCCTCCTCAAAACACCTAAAAATTAGGATCTACAACTGAACCTCAAGCCACAGGGTATTAGTGGGTTTTCACATAGAGGTGAGGAGTGGGTGATGTTCCAGGGTTCCTCCCTGCCAGCTACCATGGGTCTGCTCTCAATGCATGGCAGAGAGGTCACCTGGGAATGGTGACCGAGTACATCGTATAGCCTTTTAGACTGAGCATCCGGGAGTCATATAGTCATCAACAAAGCTCAGGGTCCACGCCCAGGAAGGTGCTAGATACAGCTCTCGGAGAACTGGAATCCTAACCCACTCCATCTGTTGCCCACTTAGATTGTGGGCGCTATCTGTTTTATGTCATGTGGTGTATGAGGCACAGCAATATCAGGAGAGCACCACACGCTCCTGCTAACTGTCCATGTGTCCTTCCAGAGCTTGTCAGAGAGCGCAAAAATCCTGTCACGATCCTGTTTCTAGGAAAAGGAGGAGCCAGTGGGATGCTTGGGAACCTGGGGAGCAGGTGCCTCCTCACAGAGCAAACACAGCAGTGTGCTCATTAGAAAACCAGACCCAGACATTGAGAGGTAAATACACATCCTAGGTACAGGCAGGGAGGGCTACAAAGGCAGGGAAACAACCCCAAACCAAGATCTCCAAGGTTAGGAAGAGATGGTTTTCTAATACTCTATTGCATGTCCAGGGATGTCCTGGGCCAGGGTGGCTGTGCCTCATGCAGTAGCTCTGTGTCCTAAGAATTAGGACCCAGCAGAGGCCTGCCCTCCAGGCAGCTCTGGCACCTGAGTAAGCTTTTCACTGTGACTTAGCTTGAGGCACAATCAGCCGCAGAGCAGCAGCGAAAACGCTTCTGCTTCAGAGGATGGAATGCCAGCACACTCCCTCTCTGTCCCAAGGTGTCCACTTGCCTGATGTAGCCCCTCCCCACGCAGGGACCCTTAAGCAAGAGCAGTCCTTCTGGTGCTTTGGAAGCTAGAGACTGTGAGAAGGAAGTGTGTGTGTGTGTGTGTTCCTGGGCTTGAAGACAGCACCTCTTTTTGTCCTCACAGGATAGGGTCGGGTGCAGAGAGGAGGCAAGCTCTGTGCCTGTCTTCTCATCAGGATACCAATTCCGATGTTCCCATGAGTGTTCTTATAAGGCCACTAAAACTGCTTTCCTATTGGGGGCTGGGGCCTTAGCCTGGGGCTCAGTCCATGCATCTACCCTGCAATCACCCATTTGCAGCTCAGGGGCTTGGGGGGCCCGAGAAGCCCCCAAGTCCTAGGTGATCAGAGATGAGCATGCCTGAGTACCCTGCTCCGGGCTTGTAGGTTGTTACAGGGTTCCTTGTGGAGCAGTGGGTGGGGCTGCGTATCCAAGCAACACTGAGCTGCTACTGCCCACAGGTCCTTCCATGTGGCACTCTTCTTCCTGGTGCTGGTTGTGCTCCTGATGGCGGGCTTCCTGAATGTGGACGTCGAAAAGTTTAAGCCGTAAGTTCTGCGCAGGTGCCTTATGCTCTGGGAGGTTGAGCTCTTCTCCTGCAGCTCCAAGAGCGCTCACGTTCTCACTGAGCCTCGGAGTCCTCTCTGGGAGAAAGTGCTAAGCTATGCTTGTCCTGGGCATGTATCCTATGATGGCAAGCCTGCTTGGAAGCCTTCTGAGGCAGCTCTGGGGAGCAGGCGTGGCCTAGCCAGCCCGGCCTGGGAAGGGAACTGAGGAGAGCTGGGTCTACAGTGGGAGCCGTGGGAAGGCCACCTCCCAGTCTACAAAACGGCTTGGCTTTTCTAAGCATGGCTTTTGGGTGGGGAGGTCACAACTGTACTCCTTTGTCACTAGGCCCCAAAGCACTCACTCCCCTGCCTGCCAGGGCTACCCCATCCAGAGGGTGGCCATCTATGCCCACTTGCACAACCAACTGCCTCCCAGGCCAGGATTCCGGGAGGGTCTTATCTTCCTGGCCTTCATGCATCCTCCAGTTGGATTTGTATGACGAGGGGTAAATTGTCCTCAGAGGAAACACACTGTCCCAAGATCCACTGGATCCTGCTCCTCACCATTTTTGTCCATCTTACTGGCCTACATTAGCACAAGAAGCTGTGGACTGGAGAGACGCCTTAAAGAGCATTGGCTTTCTTTTCCAGAAGACCAGGGTTCGATTCCCGGCACGCACATGACAGTTCATGACTGTCTGTAACTCAAGTTCCAGTGGATCTGGCTCCCTCACACAGACATACCCGCAGGTCAAACACCAATGCACATTTTTTTTAAAAAAAAGAGACAAGAAGGTGCCTGGGGACCCAGGCCATCTGGGTGTATCCTGGCATTTGTTAGGCTGGTTATCTTGTCTGAAGTCACTGGACCACTGCCACACAGGGTGCCCTGGGAGACCGACAGCAGGTTTGGGGGCCTAGGGGAATGCTTGGGGTTTTAGGTATGAGTGTATAGCTTGTATGAGAACAGAAAGTATAGAAAGAACAGCTGTTGAGGGCATCTTGTTGCAAGGGGAAAATCATATCTGTCACAGAAAATCCCCCCCCCCCCCCCGGACCTCAAGATTACAGAGTGGTGGTGCTGGGGGGGGGGGGAGGAGGGACGGGGACAGGACACAGCACTGGAAGAAAGCCAAAGGAGACAATGTAGGGATCCCATGTTGAGAGGTGCTACTTGGGGGATGCTGTTGGGGGTCTGTGGCCCCTTTAATGATGGTGGCCTACACCGTCTCTCCTAGTCTGCTCAGGATCAAGGCCCAGGACTCCTCCAGGGACTCTATGCCGGTCACCAACATCATGTTCCTCAAGACACATAAGACAGCCAGCAGCACCATGCTCAACATTCTCTACCGCTTTTCGGAATCTCACAACCTGTCCGTGGCGCTGCCCAAGGACTCTATGTTCCACCTGGGTTACCCCTGGCTTTTCGTGGCACGCTACGTGGAGGGCATGGAGCAGAATGGCCCACAGGATCATCACTTCAACGTCATGGGCAACCACTTGCGGTTCAACTTTCCTGAGGTGGGAAACGTGGAGGTGGGAGAACGGGGCGGGCTGGAGGTTGCCTCGCCTGCAGTTTTGGTTGTGAGTGACCGTGGTGCTTGCACGGGCGGAGGTGGGGTGGAGTGGGGTGTAGAGTCAGTGCAGGAGTCGTCTGAAGTTGTAGGGGTGGAGAGGCCTGCCTGCCGACCCTGCCATTCTCTTCAAGCGGCCAGTGGCTTGTAATTGCTCTTGGCATGAGACGTGTAGCCCCAACTCTGTCTTCTTGAGGGCATCTCAACCCTCTCTCATATCCCTGAATTTCTGGTTCTGGAAGAACATACTGGGCTTTTGTTGCCCCTGAACTGTCTGTTGCACCTGCTCCTGCGGTGTGCGAAGGAGTTGGGACAGGTGGGAGTTGGGAACTTTGTATAGTCCATCTAACACAGGAGTCTTGGGGTACCACTTCCTCCTTTTCCAAATAGGTGCAGAAAGTCATGCCCAATGACACTTTCTACTTGTCCATCCTACGAAACCCAGTTTCCCAGCTGGAGTCTTCCTTCATCTACTATAAGAGATATTCGCCTGCCTTCCGGAAAGTCAAGACCTTGGACCAGTTCCTGGCAGATCCGTGGAAGTACTACAACGTCAGCGTGGGCCTGAAAAATGCCTATGCAAGAAACAACATGTGGTTTGACTTTGGCTTCGATAACAATGCTCAGGCTGAAGAGGGCTACGTTCGCAGGTGCCTCTCGGAGGTGGAGCGCCAGTTCCAGCTGGTGCTCATCGCGGACTACTTCGATGAGTCCATGGTGCTGCTGCGCAGGCGGCTGCGCTGGCAGCTGGATGACGTGGTGTCCTTCAAGCTGAACCTACGCAGTCAGCGTACGATCTCGCACTTGAATCCAGAGAGCCAGGAGCGTGCCAAGCGCTGGTGCGAGCTGGACTGGCAGCTCTACCAGCATTTCAACCGCACGTTTTGGGCTCAGCTGTACGCGGAGGTAAGCCCCCGCCAGCTCAGGGAAGAGCTGGCGCAGCTGCGGGCGAGGCGTCGAGAGCTCACCACCCTGTGTCTTCAGGACCCCGAGCCCAAGAACACGACGCAGATAAAAGATCAGAATATGCTCCCCTATCAGTCCGGAGATGCTGAAATTCTGGGCTACAATCTTAGGCAGGGTCTGGACAATGCTACACTGCACATCTGTCAGAGGATGGCGATGCCAGAGCTCCAATACATGGCCCACTTGTACACGCTGCAGTTTCCCGACAAGCCTCCAAAGGACATACCCTTGCCGAAAAAGTAGGGGTTTGGCTAAATGACCCTTTCTCCCCAGGCTTCCCGGGGAGCCTTAAACTTGCCAGCCTACCTTTCCCAAGGGAAGAACAGGGTGAAACCTCTGTGTAGAGATCCACCTATCCCCAGCTCTGGGGAGAGGGCCCAACACCTAAGACAACAGGCACAGCCGGACTCTGGCTGAACCCAACCATTGTAGAGACACGTCCTGGACAGGCCTGAATGCCTTTAATTATCTGTCTGCAGGAGTCAGTCTAAACAGGCCATCAGGTGAACATCAGCCTCTGAGAGCACAAGGGCTTAGGCAATGGCCTGGCGACCCATGAAGAGGCTCAGAAAAGCTCCCTGGGAGTTTCTAGCCCCACAGATTCAGCACTGGACCCAGAGCCAGGCTTGCATAGAGCGCTCAGGAAGCAGCTCAAAGGTGGGCCCAGGGGAGATGGGTGAACAGGTGGCCTCCCATCTTTGGCTTTCTGAAGAACGGTGTAGACTGAGAGACGTGAAAGTTGCTGGTTAGCTGCACACAGGTGGGTCCACCTTATAGTGTCCCACTGGACAATCCCGAAGGAGAACGTGCTGGACTTGACAACGGTGCTCAGAGGGTCCCAGGGACCGTTGGTTGCCTTGGAAACCACGATGTGTATAGTCTCAAGGACTTTTTTTTTTTTTTTGGTGCCTCTCTTTGTCATTTGTGGGGAGCTACTAAGTCCCCAGCCCCCAGTTCTTGCAGGATGAGAAACCTGGTTACCTGGGGTGCCTAACACCAAGTAGCCTGGGAAAAGCAAGGTGTCACTGTCACATGCTCAGCCTACAGCTTCAGCTTGAACTTTGTGTTTGTTGAGTCTGAGTGGAGGCTTTTCTTCTGTGTAGGAGCCTCCAGCTCGGGGCAAGAGGGCCCGTGCTCCTTTGGACAGCAATTTAATAGGGGTACTTTAAGAAAAATAATTGTCAGTGAGTTTAGAGATGGTACAACGAATTTATCAATCCAAAAGAACATTGTAAATTGAAAACTGACTTTCCCAAAGTGAACAGAGTTAGTCAAGAATGCCATGGTGGCACCGGCCTTTAATCCCAACATTGGGGAGGCAAAGGCAAGCAGATTTCTGTGTTCAAGATTATCCTGGACATAATAGTGAGTTTCAGGACTTCTGGGGCTACAAAACAAGATCCTGTCTCAAAACAGAACAAAACAGAAAACCACAAACAAACAAAAAACCCAACCAATCAAACAAAAGCGAAACCAAGCTTCTGAATTTGGATGAAATTACTCTTAATAAACTTGTGTTCTCTAGAAGAGCAGGAAGTGCTCTTAGCCTCTGAGACATTTCTCTGGTTCCTTAATTAGAACTTTTCATTCTTAGTAGACTTAATTCTTTTTCTTTTTGTCAGTTGTGGAGACTGATCCCAGGATCTCGAGTGTGCTAGGCAAGTGATTTAACAGTGAGCCATGTCCCCAGCCCTGAACCCTTAATTTCAAGAAAGACTCAGGAAGAAAGAGCATTCAGTTGTTTCTTTCATTCATATACATGTATATGTATGTAAATATATATGTGACAATTGAATATATGGGACAACCTTCAATTGTCTCATATATATATATATATATATACATGTGTGTATGAGCAATTCATGAAAATATTTTGTTTCTTTGAAAACATGCTTTCTCTCAGGAAAAATGTTCTTTATGTAGAATAGGATATATTTGTTGGCAGACACACACACACACACACACCCACACCCACACACACACACACTATTTTCTTAGACTATAAAAAGCCAAGAGTACAGTCAGCCACTGATGTTTCATTGTTTTGTACTTAGGAATGATTCATAAGTTTTTATGACTTAATTTAAAATTTTTATAAACATGAATCCCATTTTAACTCATACATTATTTTTTTACAACTATTCCTAAATTAGAGTAGGAGTGATTCATAAGTTTCAATGACTTAATTTAAAATTTTTATAAACATGGATCCCATTTCATTCATACATTTTTTTACAACTATACCTAGAATAGACATAAAAATTAAGTTATCAGTTAAGCAAAGTAATATTTATTTCCTATTAAAGACTCTACCCAAAGTCTAATCATTGTCCCAATACACAGGAAGCAATAATGGGCACTGTCCTGCACTCTAATCTATATTTATTCTTTTCACACAAAAACACAACTCTCACCTCAAGGGGATAAGAGATAGTTTGTTCTGGAGCCAAAGGCGAGTGAGTGATCATGACCCAGGAACACCAATTTAGGTTACCTTGAATTCCTATTCCTACCTGAAACAGTTTGATGAAGTTTTCATAGTACCAGAACAAAGAAAGTCATAAATTAAGACACATAAAAAAATATATCGGTAGAAATGTTAGGCAGACGGGTCCCAGGAAAATGAGGAAATCCCTGCTATAGGCCTCAGGTCCCTGACTGATGGCATTCTGAGCCTTCGGGTGGTGGAAACCAGGGTCTGTTTTACTACATTCTCAGAGGTTTATGTCAGCGCCCATAACTGTGAGTCCATTCCACCTTGCCTAGAGGTCAGAGTTCAAACTTGTTTTCTTTCCTTCCTCCCTTCCTCCCTTCCTCCTTCCTCCCTTCCTCCCTTCCTCCCTCCTCCCTTCCTCCCTTTCTTTCTTTCTTTCTTTCTTTCTTTTCTTCTTTTTTGGTTTTTCAAGACAAGGTTTCTCTGTGGCTTTGGTTCCTCTCCTGGAACTAGCTCTTGTAGACCAGACTGGTCTCGAACTCACAGAGATCCTCCTGCCTCTGCCTCCCGAGTGCTGGGATTAAAGGTGTGCGCCACCACTGCCCTGGCTCTGTTTTGCTCTTTCAAAAGTTGTTGTTGACAACAGTGGCTACAAGACAAGAGGCCCTGACCTAAATGGCTAATTAGTAATTTGAGTATGAAAGGTAACAGCTCCATCTTGGCCAAAGGTCAGAGATGCTCTGTTTACGAAGTCTGTTGCCTCCCCTTCTCCTTTTGGAGTGGAGTATAAAAAGACGTGGAAATTAAAGGGCCGGTTCAGTATTCACTCAGTGTCCCTCCCGGTGGTGTTCTATGTTTCGTCTCTTCTTTCTCTCTTATCTCTGTTCCCTTCTGCTTAATAATTATTATAATCCTCATGCTCCTATCCTGGAGCGTGTGAATCCAGTTGAGGCTGGTCCGCGAGAGCTGTTCCCATTAGTCACAGGATGCTAGGTCAGACACGGGCGGGCAAGAAGTGGCTAAGGGGCTTGGCTGTGCTGGCAGTTTTCTGTCAGTTTGACACAAGCTAGAGTCATCTGAGAGGATGGAGCCTCAACTGAGAAAATGTCTCCATGAGATCAGGCTGTAGGGAAGACTGTATTTTCTTAACCAGTGACTGATGGGGGAGGGTCCAACCCAGCAGGGGGTGGGGCCATTCCTGGGCCCCTGGCCCTGGATCCCATAAGAAAGCAGACTGAGCAAGTCAGAAAGCAGCCCCCCTCCATGGCCTCTGCATCCGTTTCTGGTCCAGCTTGTCATCCGGTTTGAGTTCTTGCTTTGCTTCCCTCAATTCAGGATGTGTGAGCCAAATGAACCCTTTCCTCCTCAACTCTCTTGCTCACAGTGTTTCATCCCAGCAACCCTAGTGATCACAGGCGCTGGAGAGAACTCAGGAGAAGTTGCGGCATCCCAGCCTCTCCACGATTGAGATTCTAACCAGTTAATCAGCCTTAGAGGAAGTTTAATGTAGGCTATGGTTCTTTCTAGAATCTTGTCCCAAGTCCCTCTGTTTACCAACCGTCACATTTTGTGTATCTAGGGGCCACATAGCTTTGTTGTCTCACATCCCTGGGGTCTGATGTAGCTGAGGCTGGATGAAGACACCGTCCCTGCACCCCGAAAGAAAGTCCAGAGAGGAAACTATTGAAGAGATCCCTTTGAAACTGTGATAGTGTAGATCTTCACAGCTGGTGGTTTCTCGCAGACAGTGGGGAAAGGGGTAGGCTACCGGGAGTGTGACCATGCTCCCGTGGCTGTATGGCTGTATGGTCAATACAAATTGGACTTGCTGTTTTGTTTTTTTGGGGGTGGGGCACAAGGATGGAAGGAATGGGAATTGAGTGTAATCAGGTGCATTGTGTGAAATTCCCAAATAATTAATAAAAATATTATGTTGGGAAAATCCCTAGATTGAGTATATGTTTCCCCTGTATTTATTTATATTCTATAGACTATTTATACTTACGATATTGGAAAAAAAAACACTATCCTTTAATTTTAGGTTTTCTTTTGGCCAGTTTGATCTAGTTATAATTTCATTGGAGTGGCTACCTCTAATTCTTCTTCTTCTTCTTCTTCTTCTTCTTCTTCTTCTTCTTCTTCTTCTTCTTCTTCTTCTTCTTTTTGGTGGGAGGGCACTGTCTCATTGTGTATCCCTGGTTGACCTAGAACTCACTGTGTAGACCAGACCGGCCTCAAATTCACATAGATCTACATGCTTCTGCCTTCCAGGTGCTGGGAGAAAGGAGTGTGCTACCATACCTGGCTTAAACTTAAATTTAAAAAACAAACAAAAAAAACCTTAAATTCTTAAGAAAGATTGATTTCTGTATCTAAGTCATCAAAATTCTTAACTGTGGATACTCACATGAAAAGATTTTAAGTCTTATGATTGTACAAAGGTTTTAGTTTGGAAAAGTAAATGAAAAGTCACAGGAGGAATTGGGCAGCAAGATAGTATCCTTCTAAAAAAATTCTAACATAATTATCTTTGCCTGTGACCTTCATTATTACTAAGAACTGTGATAGAAAAAGAGATCAGCCCTGCTAGAAATCAGAATTTGTTATAGGCCTTGTAGGTATAATCCTTTTTTGTTTGTTTGGTTTTTGTTTTTGTTTTTTGAGACAGGGTCTCTCTGTGTAGCCCTGGCTGTCCTGGAACTTGCTCTGTAGACCAGGTTAGCCTTGAACTCACAGAGATCTGCCTGCCTCCATTCTGTACCTCTGACTCCCTCTGTCTCACTGGCGAACCACGCCCCTGCCAGATTCTAAAACAGAGTTCCTATCTCTGCCTAGAAGTCCTGCCTAGTCTCTTCTGCCTAGCTATTGGACATTCAGCTGTTTATTAAACCAATCAGAAGGCGCCCCAGTCAGATGAGGCAAAACAGAGATACATACTCACAGGGTACAGAAAGATTTTCCCAGAGCAGGTTCCCCTTCCAGAGCTTCTGTTGGATGTGTTATTGTCCTTTTGTTAGCTATGGTAAGCAGGAGACACAGCCCATAGTTTCCTCCAGCAGAATTTTGAGTTCTCTAACTCTTTAGGGAGCTCCACCCAGGTAAAGAGCTGAATGGCCAATAGCTAGGCAGGAGAGGGATAAGCGGGACTGCCAGGCAGAAAGAATAGGAGGAGAAATCTAGGCTTGAAAGAAAAGAGGGAGAAGAGAGAAAAGAAGAAGGAGAGGAGGACACCAGGGACCAGGCGCCCAACCACACAGCCAGCCATGGAGTATGAAAGAAAGCATGATATAAAGAATAAAGCAAGACAAAACGTTCAGAGGCAAAATGTAGTTAAAGGGAAATGGGATATTTTAAGTTAGAAAAGCTGGCTAGAAACAAGCCAGGCTGAAAGGCTGGACATTCATAAGTAAGAATAAGTCTCCGTGTAGTTATTTGGGAGCTGGGTGGCAGGCCCCCAAAGAGTAACAAAAACTAAAATGAAACAAAAACAAACAATTACAGCATAGAGTGAATGAAAATTCTACAAGAAAGAAGAAGCCACACCCTCGGCTGAACCTTCTTCTGATGAACAGGTTAGGATCCTCGAGTGTGGGTAGAGAGGTTCCAAAGTTGCGGCTTCAGTGCCTCGTCACTGTTTATCTTGGCCGCAATTTAGCTTCCTTGTGGCTCATCTCTGTCTGACCTAAGAGCCTTGTGACTAACAGGTAAGGCCCTTTAGAATGTTTAAACAGACTCTCGTCTTTTCCCAACACAAAGGCTCAGCGTGTCATCAACTAGAAATGACAGAAGAGATTACTCCACTTTAACTTGCTTATCTAGTGTTTCGATCAGTGTATTTGAAAAGTGCCATGATTTATGACTTTTTTTTGTACTGTGACCCTAAAAGTTTTATCAAGCTATTATCACATTGTAACATGCAGTAGGAGGTACCCTAAATCTGTGTGCTTCAGGCGTGGCCACTCATATTTGCCTCCAAAATAAACTAAGTCTTTTTTAAGAAGTTTTATTTTATGTTATGTGTATAGGTATTTGGCTTGCGTGTGTGTCTGTGCACACACCCATGTACCTGGTGTCTGAGAAGGTCAGAAGAGGGCGTGGGATCCCCTTGAACTGGAGTTATACATGGTTGTGAACTGCCATGTGGGTTCTTGGAGTCCTCTGGAAGAGCAGCCAGGATTCTTAACTGCTGGCCTGTCTTTCCAGCTCCAGACTAGGTCATTTGAGGTGAAAATCGTTGAGATTTGTATTGGCAATTCTGAAACCTGGACACGGGGCCCTGAGAATTACCCACTTTTCACCCGGAAGACTCGCTAGATGAGAGCGAGGTACTGGCAACATGGGTTTTCCAGGTGGATTTTGGTGAGTTCTTTCTGGGACTCAGAGCTCTCTTGATCCATTTTGTTGTTTGTTCTGAGCTGGTTGTTTAGGACCCTATTTGATAAATACTCCCCCCCCCCCCTTTCAAAACATTTGGTTTACATTCTCTGTGGTGGTTTGAAAGAGAACGGCTCATATATTTGAATATTTGGTTATTTGAATATTAGGTGCTTTTTGCCAAATGAAAGCAGGGAGAT